AGGACAACACGCTTCGGGTTTTTGCATTGTAAGTTTCGATTATTTGATGGCCTTTTTATTCTTGTTGGTGTGGATTTTGAGTAAAGCATTGCCATTTGATTTGGGTTACAATTTGGGGATTTGTTACTTGCCTTCAGTACTCAAAATGCATTTCAACAACCAACCTTTTCAAAAATCGCTACCGTGGTGTTTGCTAACTCTACTCTTGTTTGGGTTTTATCAGGCCAGATTATGGGAGTGAGAATGCTAATGGGTGTTCTGTAGCTGCTGATGAAGGTAAGTTCTTCGCCCGGAAATGTATTTGCTTTGGAGTTTATTTATTGTATGTTAATTTGCCAAAAGAATATTTGTACCTGAAAGTTTTTGTTTGGTATTGTTTGAGAACGAAAATTTTCAGGCGAGCTATGTTTGATTGGTTTTGTATTTTCATGGAAGTGTAGTCATCTTTTTGGTCTTTTTGTTTTTGCACTCTTGAGCTGCAGATTCGTATGCTGCAAACCTTGTTGTGAATGAGGGAGAGTCTGTATACGACTTCTGTTGGTACCCTTACATGTCTGCTTCAGGTACTTCTGTAACTCTTCTAATGGGGGGCCAATTTGTTAAGGTTATTCGTTATTGTGACGATGAGAATCTCAACTTGATATCCAAGATATTTACTTTAGAGTGGCTGATATGATTCTGTAAGTAAAAGCTTGATTTGGAATTTTTTATGACGTTGCAGACCCGGTTACCTGTGTTTTTGCAACTACATCTCGTGACCATCCAATTCATCTTTGGGATGCTTCTTCTGGACAGGTGCTGGCTCATTATTGCAATCTTCATTATGCTAATAAAATTAGTATTTTTGTACGAGTTTTTCTATTTAAACGCCACATGTTATCTATGTCCACCGCACTTCTATCTGCACCACACTTTAAATTAAAAACTTCACATTTTCTAAGGACACCCCACCTATCTTCCCACATTGCCACTAAACAGATATTACCACACCCACACCCACCACCGCTCCACCATCTTCTCACAACTGGCAGCGTGGAAACTTCCGTCATCTTTTTCTCTGCCAAAGCGTAGCCTCCACCAAAGACCAGCCTCTTTGAAATCAAAACCATCAATAACTCTACTCTAATCCATATACCAAAGTTCTAAGTCCATAAATCATCAAATAATCTCAAAATGCAATAAGGAAACTGTAATAATGAATTCTTGTACAATATTTTCCATATTAATGTAAAGGTGTCTGGTGTGTAAAAAGAAAAATCTTTTTGTATAGCTAACTGCTTAATATAGCATTGTAACATACCCAATTTGGCATTCCGTGTTTAGTTCACTCGTTTCCCATGTATACACAGTTTTGATATGTATTTTTTGGGTTAATGTTTGTATATCGCATTACCACCATTATTTTGGGCTGAAATTGCAGCTACGTTGCACTTATCGTGCTTATGATGCTGTGGATGAAATCACAGCTGCTTTTTCAATTGCCTTTAATCCTACTGGAACAAAGTAAGCAATATTTTTTTCCTTTCCTTTTCAAAGGTTATACAATTCAGTTGCATGTTTTCTACGTCATTGTTATGTACTCTTCAATTGTTTCGCAGGATTTTTGCCGGATACAACAAATCTGTTCGGGTGTTTGATTTACATCGCCCTGGTAGGGATTTTGAACAATATTCTACACTTCAAGGAAACAAAGAAGGCCAAACTGGTACATGTTATCAGTTTTTATCTCTAAATTCTGATGATAAATTAAGAATCTGTGCAAGTGCACATTTCTCAGCCTTTGTGTTGTGGACAGGTATAATGTCTGCAATGGCATTTTGTCCAACCCATAGTGGAATGCTAGCTATAGGTTCTTATAGCAAGACTGCTGCAATATATAGAGAAGATAATATGGAACCCTTGTATGTATTGCATGGTCATGAAGGTGGGATTACACATGTAAGTCATCGTTCCTTATTGTTCATTTCACTTTGATCATAACTTCAAAAGATGAACCAAAGCTTTTGCTTTCAGGTCCAGTTTTCGAAAGATGGAAATTATTTATATACTGGAGGCCGAAAGGTAAAATGCTTTACATGCTCCATCGTTTTTAGTTTGTCTTTTACTTTAAATTTTTCCGGAGTCCGGTTATTTTGTTGGATATACAGTAAACCAGTTCTATGTAACAACTGTCAGTTTATAATGTGACTTACATGCTTTATCTTTTACTTGGAAATTTATTAACATATGTATTAATATATTATTGTGATTGACTTTAGCTTACATAATTGCTTGAAGGATCCTTATATATTATGCTGGGATATACGCAAAGCGGTTGATGTTGTGTATAAGTAAGATATTTTTTCTTTCCCCTTCTAATTTAGAAAGCTATCTAGTCTTTTGTACATTGGAGGCCTGTTTTGCTCACGTTGTTTTACTTGCAACGTGGAATCAGGTTATATAGGTCATCGGAAGATACCAACCAACGGATTTTGTTTGATATTGAGCCACTTGGACGCCATCTTTGTACAGGCGGTCAGGTAGCATAGCTTTAAATTATGTTTAAATGTCCAAAGATGATGCCACAAACCAACTCAAAATTCCAAACCCCATGCTGGATCTGATAAATCACTTGTTTAATAATGCATATCCGTTTCAGGATGGTGTTGTGCATATCTATGATCTGCAAACTGGACAATGGGTAACAGGCTTCCAAGCGGCATTGGGTAATTCATTTCATATCCTATAAAGATGTAAAGTGCTACTGCAATATAACTTAATCTCTTCTTTTGCTGACTCATTATTCTGTTCCGTACACCACGCAGATACCGTTAACGGATTCTCCTTTCATCCCTTTCTGCCATTGGCTACCACTTCTTCAGGGCATCGAAGATTTGTTGGTCCTGATGATGGCAATGAGGAATTGCATCTGAGTGGTACCTCCTATAACCCTAATGCTGAAAACATATTTCCTTTTTTAGAGATAATTTTGACAAATTACATTGTATATCCTTCCAATTTTAGTCTCCTATGCTAATCATGTTTGTTCTGTTCGTTTGTCATTTTCTCCACTCTTTTTTTCCCAATCTGCATTGTGAAAACGACCGAGTGATTAATCATCACTTAGGAGTTAGTTTGGTGTTATTCTGATTCAAAAGGTAAAAAGTGCCACCTAGGTCATTTCTTAAAGCTTAAATATGAACTGATGTCATTATCTCCATTACGGCTGGGTAAATGGGCACCTTTGTTTTCGTGTTGGACAAGTCAGGTTCTTCATTATTTACAGGCCTGCTGGTTTTAATAACACAGACTTTTAGATGAATGTGGGGTGCTGCGATATCTGAATTGCTACTTGTCCTTTTTCCGTTGTACTCACCCAGGTGTTAGAGAATGCCCCAGTCGTCTCAGTCCCTTTAGATGACAGGAAGCTACATGATAGCAACTAAGCCGGTTTATCTGCGTTCTAATCTGAGCTACCTGCATAATTTCACTGGATAACATGAGAACATGTCATTGGCTCATTGTACTAATCGAAGGTTAATTGTCCTGGGATATGCAGGTGACGAAAACTGCACTTCTGTGTGGAGTTTCTCTGTTGCTTCAATGGTGGAGAATGATGCTGCAATGGACGCCGATGATTATAACAGCCACAACCTCGACCAGCATCCCTAGTCAAAACAACCCTGCGAGCTTCCGTTACATCTAAGGGTGGATTGAGACGCACATCATTTGTCTAATTGTTGTACATTAATTGAACTACAAGGTCATAAACAGTATCACTCTAATGGCAAATGTCTTCATGCTTAATGATATGTAAAACCCAAATATTTGAGCACAGTTTTGATGGCTATATGGGAAACGACGAGTCGGTTACAAAAGCTCTTTTTTTTCTTTCTTTGCAGTGGTGGTAGTTTCACAAGAGCCAAACAAGCTTTTAAGATGCAATTCAATTCAATGAGAATTTGTTAGACATTAAGTGCCACTTTGGGCTTATCTGAAAGTGCTTTAAAGCGTTTTTGGTAAAAATATTTTTAGAACTAATTCTTAATACGTACAAGTCTTGCAGAAAACATTTCAAGTGTTTTTAGAATTTAAAAACATTTTCTTAAAAAAACATTTCAATCATTTTAAAAACACTTCAATTGAACCCTTAATAGGGAGTCTTAACTTTCTACAAAAATGAAAAACACTCTTTTAATTATTCTTTTAAGAACACAATAACAAATAGCCGATATTCAAATGTTGTGTATTAATATTTTTATGCTAATTTTCAACTCGATATTTACTAGCCGTTGAAAAATTATGTACCTCACAAAAGAGAGACCTTGTTACTAATGACCTGTAATACATATCTAAATGACCTAGTTGGTAATGTGATTAATGACTTACCGGTCCAATGCATATCGAACATCACTTTCTTACTAACAACTTCTAGGACAAGATTCGACGTATGACAACTTGTATTCGATGCACATTGTCTCATAAACAAGCACGTGACTAGAAAATTATTTTCAATTGAAATGCCAGTATGGAAGGGCCACTTATGTTTTCAAAGGGGAGTTAATTTTTAATTAGGGATTAAATTTTCGAAAATAATATCCACATGGAGTTAATTAGAAACCATTTTTGGAGAAATTTCAAAGTAATAACAATGGGGCCCACCGGAAAATACGGACAAATACGAAAATAAGGCATGATTTCCACTTGTCACATGTTCATTAAGCACCCAGATTAGTTCGGATAAGAGTCATTAAAAGCACAGTGTTTAAATCCAAGGGCAAATTGGACTTTTTGCCTTCCATTGCCAGGGCAACCTTAACTGGGGTGTTTCTGGTTCAGTACACAGAGACACAGCCTCACCGGCTACGGGGAACACAAAACATCTAAAAAATGTGGGGTCCACAAAACAACCTGGTCTACAAACCCTGCACGTTTGACCACGTCAGCAAATTACCACTTTACTTTTTCTGCCGGTATTTTCTTCCGTTACGGTCCAAGTGAGGAGAGAAATGGCAGGAAAGGAAAACCAGCGAAAGCTGAATCTTCACTCGCCACCCTACCATTACCTGCCCAAACACAGTGAACCTCTCTCTCTCTCTCTCTCTCCTCACTCTCTCTCTCTCCCTATATATTTTCACAGTCATTGGATTTTGATTTCACCTTCCTTCCTGAAGCTGCTAATTGCTCTCTCACTCATCGCGTTCCAAAAAAAATGTCCAACCAAGCAAACATCATCAAAAGGCAAAAAGTTGTCTATGGCCCCCCTCTCCCACCTCTCAAAAGACTTAGGAGAAGCAACAACTCCGATTCGAATCCTGTGGCCGGAGCCAGCTCTGGCTCTGGCTCCAGCAGCAACAAAAACGCCGTCGCGCGCGTTGGTTCGGTTGAACTGAACCACGACGTTGTTCATCACATTCTTACTCTCCTCCCCGTCGATAAGTGTATCAAGGCCCGCGGCTTGGCGACGAGATTCAAAGACTCGTGGCGCTTTGCTCGGAGACTCCACTTCGGGAGGGAGTTCGTCAAGGAGTTTAGACTTGAACCAATGGAGTTCGCCGACACAGTGGACCGTGTTTTTAGGTTCCACAGGGGACCCGAAATCAAGAGCTTCCACATCTACATCGATCCCGACCATGACTATGTCGCGCGGATCGCCTTGAAGAAATGGCTTTCCAAGTGCAAAGAGAAAGGCGTCGAAGAGCTCGATTTGGAGGTTTTCGCAATCGAACGTTTTCCTGATTACTTCGTCCCTTCGAGGGTATTGGATGTGGAGACCCTCAAAGTGTTGAAGCTCACTTTCTGCGTCTTCACACTCCCACCTCTTGGCAAAGGTCTGTCCCTCCTCACAACTCTTATTCTCACCAGAGTTAACATCATTGAAGAATACCTCCAAACTATATTCAGTCACTGCCTCCTCCTCGAAACCCTGGACATGACATGGTGTGAAGGGTTTCGAGATCTGGTGGTGTGCACACCGTACCTAAAGAGATTCCGGGTGTTGAAGATTGCCAACAGCGGCTCAAGCGTTGAAACTGTGACGGTATATGCCCCAAGTCTTCAATATTTTTTCTACACTGGACAGTTTCCTGGTTTCCAAATTATTTCGCAGCCTATGGTGCACTTGAAGCAGGCCATGATAAAGTTTAACCCGATCACAGTTTTCACAAGCTATTGGCAAATCGAAAACCTTGTTTCTGCAGTCTGCATGGTCGGGGTCCTCACAATTACCGGCACATTCCTTGAGGTTAATCCCTATTTTCTTTCCTTCAAACTATCTGTAAAGTACTATAGTGATTACTTAAATATGTAGCTAATTTTGCAAAAGAAAACTTCATTTCTACACATTAAAATCATTAAAAAAATAATTTACATATTATCACATTCACGATTTTGTGTTATTTTTGCAATGAAATGCAGACATCTGCACTTTTGAACAGTGTAAAATGTCTCACATTTTTTGACAAAAAAAAGTCTCACATTATTTAAAAATCGATGAAATAAAATATAATGAATAATGAAATGTTTTAGTTCTAATTACAATTGAGGCCTTTTGCCTATTGATATCATCGATTAATTCATAAATTATTTGTTCTTATTTCTTTGATTAATCAATTTATTTATTTAATGTTCTTTGTTAATTAATCTATATTTTCTTTTGTGAATTAGGGCTTGTCCCCGAGATGTGTTAATGGGCGTCTCAAGGAGAAGGATTTCAGCCTTTGGAATCTTAAAGAACTGCACCTCATCCTGCAGAAACATTGTTTCTGCAATGTCACAGACATTGCTTGTTTTCTAAAGAATACTCCATCCTTGGAAAGACTGTTCATTGACGTGAGTACAAACCAATTCAGTAATTATCTACGGTTTTATATAGAGGCTACTTAACATTAGTAATTGGTTAACATATTTATACATATAAACACAATTATCTTGCAGATGCGTGCCTGTAGGTTTGAGTTTAACCATGGGCCTTACTGGGAGTTACATCTTCAGCCGCTATTGGAGACCAGCAATGTTGGCTGGTTTAAGTTTCTTACTATCATCAAAATCCATGGTTTCGCCTTCGAACCTCATCACATGTTGTTGGTGAATTTTATTGTGCAGAGGGCTATATGTTTGGAATCCCTGATTCTGATTTTTGTAAGAAATTACAGCAAAACCTCTCCTGGTTATTGGCAGAATTATAACCATTTGCAGGAATGTTTTTTCGCTTGGAGAATATCTAGCAAAGCAAGACTATCTGTATACTTTTCTGCGAATGACAGGAGCAGTGTTCATCCACAGCATTCAAGGATTTGGAAAGGACGCTGATGGCGATAAAGATGAACTGTTTTTCTGAGAGATTTGGAAGCTCCAGATTGCCAGTTTTCGAACCGATTGGTTGTTTAGTTTGCACCATAATTTAAAGCATTTTTAGTTAAGCATCCACAGAGGGGAGAACCACTAGGTTCTAATATTAAGTCTTATTATAAACAATTGCTGTTTAGATTGGTGGTTAGTTTCATAGATATTGCTGCACCATTATCCTTAACCGTTTGGTTTTTTTCAGATATGGCTGAGTCATTTCTGAGAAAAAAAACATTTAGTATCAATTTTATGTATGTTATTGTGATTTCTGTAGCAATTTGCATTGCAACTGGCTTAATGTCTCTGGAATTCCGTTGAACTTTTGTTTTGAATTTTGATCTTGCTCTATCATTTCCTGTTGCTAATTTCAAGTTGATCAAGTTCATCTATAAGTATCCTATATATTTATAGTTTGCTATAACTCATAACATTGTACTTATTGAAGAAAAAATCTTTATAACATTATAGGTATTCAACAGTCGTCACTTCGTGCATGTTCTGCATGCTACATATATAGAGAAAGAACGTATATCACATGCACGTACGTGCGGCGTTGTAATATAGAGGTTTGCCGCTCATTTACATGGCGGTTTTATTTTTGAAACTTTCTAAGTTTAGTTAATGCATCAGCGCGTGTTAATCACGACTTTAAACTTATATGCAAATAGCTAACTGTTTATGATTCTCACGAGATTCGGTTATTAATTAATCGTTCTAGAGCAAGATCAGATACGCATATCACACGTGTCTTGATGCTGGATTCTTGATTTTAGGTTGGTTTTCTTGATTTTAGGTTGGTTTCCAAAACGTATCCTAGTTCACTTAGGAGATATAAAATGTTACAACAATTAATAAATTCATAACGTTGATTAAATCCATATGTGGTGTTTTTCATCAATTACAAGCATCAATTTAGGGTGCTTTATATGAAATACAAGAAGGCTAAGGGCTGGTGCAACCGTGGAAGATCAGAATACCCAAATGCCCATTTGTAAAAGACAACCCAGGGCAGTAGCAGTAGCTGACTCTTTGCTGTCTAATTGGTATGAAGTAAATTAAGGTTGGATTGACATGAGTTTAAATTCATGAAGAACTGGCTAAAATCTAGGTTTGTCACGATCCGCAACCCATTCGTGCTCGTTTGGTGTCTTTTTTTTAACAAACGATATTACCTATAGGGAGGGAGCATGTTAAGTCTCACAATGGGCTAGCATTGGTGCCTTAGATGTTCGAGGGGACATCAACCTTCTTAGCATGGCTTAAATTTGATACAATTCAATTATGTGACAACTCAATAACCATTACGGGTGGCTCAATGGTTTGGAATAAATTTTAGGCATGTATTCCACATACATGTTTTAGGTTCAATTCCTAGTATTGGTGAATCACACAATGTTGGGAATGCCTCTTGAGCCTTCTCATCCTGCAAAAAGGTGGACAGCTTTGACAAAACCACCAACTGGTCCATTCTTATGTATATGTGACAACTCAATGAAACATCAGGCCTAATCTAGTTTTTGATTTCTTAAATTCACCAAATGTGACCAAATTAATTGTTATTCTACCTTTTTTTTATTTTTATGAGAGTTTTAACGAAAAGCCTGTGGTATTGTTCACTTTAACAAAAAAATCACATTTTTACACTAAAAAGTCAATCATGATACTATTCATTTTATCCTTTATTTTGTCTTTATTGTTAAAACTCAAATTTTTCAAACCCTTTTCATTAGTTTTCTTTTTTTTTTACTTTTTTTTTCTTCGACGGAAAATGAAATGTATTGCTAGCTCCCGACGACGTTTTTGGCATCCTCAAATCTTGCTAGTTACTTCTAACTCAAACACTCCTCATTGCACAATGATTGCGATTTAAAATCCAAGATTTTCAAATTCGTATGCATTCTCTATCTAAAAGTGTTCATCAATCGTCATCGGACCAATCAATAAAATATCCATATTAAAAATAAATAAATAAACAAATTGATGATTGAAGGTTTGATTTTATTATTTTGGATAAATTGGATTGATTTTTCAAATACAAATTTTACCAAATATGAGTAACTATAAGGAAAAGGAAAAAAGAAATTAAATTATACAAACCAATAAGGACTTAATTAATTTTGTAAAGGAAGAAGAAAATTGTTAACAAGACAACCTAGCCACTTAAGAGAAATTCTTCAGCTGAACACTATCGTTATAAAAAAATGTCATAATATTAGTTGTTGAAATTTTTTTCTTTTAAACATCTAATTACTTATATTATGATATTTAATATATTAATTAGGACGATATTCCCGTCACACCTCTTTACTTCTTCTGCTTGCAAGTTGCAACTAATAAGAAAAATTAAGCCACTTAATTGAAAAACTTAATAAAAAATAAAAAATGTTCACTACACAAAAATGCTTTTGGTTTTGACGTATGTTGACATTGACGTCTGCTAATGCAACAGCCGTCAGCCAACCAATCTTGAATCTTCTGTCAAACGACGCCCATCACCAGTCATAAAGCAGAAAATCATAAAATACTCACAGTCCATCCATATCATCCGTACACGTGTCATGAACACAACGAGTCAATAAAGCTCCACCACTAGATGACCGTCACTGTAGTCTAACCCGAAGCCAACGTCGTCGGGACTCTCTAACACGTAACGCAACGTGCCAGGAAAGCTGACGACATAGCCGCCGACTCGGACCGTCCATATCGCCACGTCATCGCCCACAGCAGCACACGTGCAGCTTCCTACCGGCCATCTCCCTCCGCCACGTCTTCACTCCAACGGCTAGTTTGCTTACCCTCCTTTATTTAACTTTTCACCATTTTTCGCTTTTTTCAAAAACTAATTAAACAAATAATATAAAAATCTAATCTTTTCGCTCCGTATATAAATTGTTTCTCTTCTTCCATTTCTACAGCAAAAAACACACAGAGGAGAGAGAAAGTTTAGTGAGAGAAAGAGAGATACTCTGAACAAGGCAGGAATCTAGGGTTTAATCTAACACAAGGTTTCTTACTCTCTTTGCTTTTGGATTCTCGGTTCTCTAGATTTTAGAAATTTTCAGAAACTGTTTTCAGAATCTGGGTTCGGTAGATTGTGTTTTTTCACTGTTGCTTGTAATCTGATTCGATTTTTGTTTTTGGGTTTAGCGATTTTGAGATTGTTTATTGATTGGAGAAGATGGCGTTGGGAAGGAAGTGCAAGAGTTGCTTGAAAACGAAGCGTGGTGGTGGCACTGTTGCGGCGGAGGCGGAGGGGGAGGGGATAGTGGAGTTAGGGTTTGTGAAGTACACGCGAGCTTTGGGGAGGAAGAGGATTGGGATTTCTAACAATGGCGAGGAGGCTTCGCCGGCTGATTTGTATCCCAAGACTCCATTGAAGAAGCAGCGGAGTGGGAACATGATTTGGGAATCGGAAACTGCCGCCTCCTCCGCCCTAGAAGCTGTGCCTCAGGAGATTCTGGTTAGCCCCAAAATTCTCAATTTTTTTTTTTCGGATGAAAAATCAAATATAAAATTGATTTCGATTTAATTCGTATCTAATCACATATCTATTTCTGTGCATTGCAGATTAAGGTTGTGTGTGGAGTCGATCACGATGATTTGAAGCGGCTTTTCCGTGTATCGAAAGCGATTAGAGAAGCGGTAAGTTTAATTTGTTCAATTAACTTCAATAATTAATTTTTAATTTGTTTTTATCAATTGGCATTGATTTTGATGGGTTTCATATTGTTTAATTGCAGACTCTGGTTGCGAAGCAGTGGCATTTTGCTTACAGCACGCCTTCGAAAACCCCTGCTTTCCGAACCGCCATTGATTTATCAGATTCGAATAGCTCTCTGGACGAGATTGAAGCCCCGAATGCTCCAAAACAGTGGAGGCAGATGCACAGGAAGTTGCCTAACCAGAAGAAGCTTGCTGAGTTGTCTGTGAACTTGTTTGCCTCATGGGACGACGAAGCGGAGGAGGATCAGGGGACTCGAAAAGGGCTGTTCATGGAGGAGGATGAATGAGTCTGCATATATGCAATGTCGCTAGTGTAAATACAAACTCATACTTGTGAATTTCATAGTTTTCGTCGATTCGGGTAAAGATGGAAAGAGCAAAAGACGGTGCTGCAGAGTGTGCATAACAGAGAAATATATGGTTGCAAGCAGTTTCTTCAAAGCCATCATTGAAGATCATAAACTTGCTTGTTCATCTCTTTTTTGTACATGTTTTGAAGAGGAGAGAGAGAGAGAGAGAGAGATTCCACTATTCACAAGTTGTTTGTTAAGGGCTAATCTTGTGCCCTTCCCCTTGATAATAAAATGAAGAATGTATGGCGTATGCCGTAGTATCATAATCTTCAAAGGAAACAATATTTTATGCTAGATATCCTCTAGAACTCTCTCAGTTTAATACGAATTCATCTTAAATGACTTTTTCCCGACTAGTATATATACCTTACCTAGGACTCGTCAATGAAAATATTTTCATACGCATACTTTGCTCTCTTTCCCACTCTTGAGTTCTAAGATTTATACTGACTTGACTGTCAGAGAGCCTTTGGCCATTACAACACCGGTACCCTAGGTTACACATGGTTGTTTGTTCTTGCTTGTAGGTGGCATTTTCGCATAGCTACTTCATTCACAGTGTGGTGCGAAAATTAGTTCCAACAATGTTCGTAATGCATTCTAAAAACTTTGTAGTCTTATTTTCTCTTCCCGCTAAGACCTTCATAATAAATTAAGGCCAACACATGTTTTACTACACTCTGATTTCAAAATACATCTTATTATTTGCTAATGACGAATTCGAACCAAATTATGTAGATAGCTCATTGTAAAATTTAACTCACTTTACCAACCCTTGGTATAGATAATATCGTATGTATTCAAAATAAATAAAAGTTATGACTTGAGGGACAAATTACTTAAAACTTTTTATGACAGTCTGATCAGTATGACAGAATCAGTGGTGGATCTTATGGAGCGCAATTCGTGGGTTTATGTTTTCTTAGTTGCAAGCTAAGTAAGATTTCAATATTCACAAGAATTTACTGTACCGGCGGCACTTGGTGGAAGTCGTCGACATTGCTTAAATTTTAGCTGTTCAAATTAAATCCTTCTTCAAATGAAAGTAAGGCCATGCTGGTTCACATGCCTAATTTCATAACGCTTTCCGTTAAATATCCTGTCTTAATATGACCTACAATTCCCTTTTACAGTTCATAAGTTAACCATCCTTGTACGGGAAAAAGAAGAATGGAAGCTTCAACATGTACACGATTGTAAAACTTAAGAATGCTCAGGAGTTCACTTTAATTGCATACCTTTTTAAAGAGAGGCTGCATGTATTTATATTGCATTTCAGATTACATCAGGGAAAGCAATCCCTATTTACAAGGCTTTTCAAAATTCAAAAATTACAACAAACTGTAGAAAAGATATATATCCCAGAAACAACAAACATTTGAAAGAGTTGTAACCTAAGCTAACTCTTCATGGATAAGAGTTTAGAGTGATCACAACTGCCTGAAGTCTCAGAAGTAAGATTCACACACTGACTTGGTCTATCACACGATGTGCTAACGAATTAGTCACACGCTATGCCAAGCCTAGTAGTGTTGCGTAGCGAGTAAGTAGGACATTAAAGTGATTGAGTGCGTGGTGATGAAGCCTAAGCCAAGCAGGTAGTTCCATAAGGTTATGTTTGTAGAACTCAACAGAGAAGAGTCACAGAGATATTTGGATGCGATGAAGCGGTCATTCGCAATACGTATTCTGTTGGAAGCTCTGTCCTGCACCTAGGATATCTCTGGTGCAGCCATATCCTATTCCGTCGCCTGTACCTAGGGTTGTTATGCCTTCCGCAACTTATTCTGGTCTGTTCCTAGGGGAGGTACAGATCATTACCAGAGTTATGGACGACCCGGTGCTCCCACTAACCCCTACGGTAGTACTGTGAGTGGAGCTTATCCGGTAGGTAGTGCGGTGACTTCATTCACAGGCAATGCTCACAGACATCTTGGCAGTGCTGGAGATCCCAGAGGTGCTGCTTCCCGAGCTCCAATAGCACCCACATTTCTTCCCAATCCTTCCCCATCTGCACATGGAGGTAGCTTCATTGTAAATTATCTTTACGTGTATCTTGTACGATTTATGCTATGCTCGTTGTGTAATTGGCTATGATTCAGGCTTAGCATATGGAACTCCAGCTCCTGGTCCTCAGTATTGACATCTTCTTCCCGTTAACACTCAATATCATGGAGCCTATTAACGTCCTGGGCGGGGTACTACTACTGACTGCTATACAGATTCGACGGTCATCATTTTGACGCCGTAGGCTACTCCCCCAGACGGATGAAACGGGAAGAAGTAGAAGACATATCATGCTTCTTGTAAAGCATGACGTCTTCCATTTGCTGCATAGGATAATAGGAGCAAGGGAGGGAGGGAGATAGGTTCTTGAACCAGTTGTATATTTTCAACTCTGGGTTGTCTATGATTGACTGCATTTTGATTCTTTTATCGACAATTAACGTAAAATCGTGTTGTAGTGTTAGTGACGGTTAAATAAAATTTCGGCATTGCCTGCAGAAGTGCTAAAAGCGCTTTTTGACGACCAAAAGTGTTTTGAGTTATGTTGTTAATGAGAATCGCCAAATCTTGCTCTTGAAATTGAAGGGTCCCAATCCATGTGATGAGGGCATAGGAAAGTTGGTATGTGACCCATTTCATATGGCCTTGAACATATGAATTGGTGGTTATATTCGTTGTCTGCCACAACTAACAACGCCCATCAATTTAGCCTTTATAGCCATATGGCTTCCTGTCTAGAACTCCTCTTCATTGAAAATTGGAATTAAATGGAAATCGATATTGAAAAGAAAACTCAAGCATATAAAAGTCTGGTTTAGAGTTTATAATTTAGATAGGTGTACAAATTGGATTGGAAATTTTGATTTCAACTTGTTTTGATTCGAAAATTTTCAATTTAGAACACCTGAATTTGTGAATCCGAAAATTCAGAAAAATATAAGAAATTTGGTATCTATATTGATATTTAGAAGTTTCAAAATTTCGAAATACATCAGGTTTCCAAGCTTGAAGTACATAGAATGACTAATATACAAAATTATTTCTTTGAGTTAAAGAACTTAAGAACATAGCAATACATTGGCAAATTGTGGATTGCCTCTCAGTTTAAACCCTTTATCTTTCTTTTCATGTAAATTAGTGTAGAATACCGTTTTCCATAAAAAAAATTGACAAAATAGTAATACTTTTGAGTTTTCAAGTGTGAACTATGGAAGCATCTCTCTCTCTCTCTATATTGTTTCATTCATTTATATCATGAAAATAACATCTTTGCAAAGTACGAGTAAGATTATGTACGACAGACATTCTTCTCGACCTTCACAAAGCAAGGAACCTTATTAACTTGAGATCGCTATTTTATTTATATCATGTATCTGCATTAATCCCCCATACATGTATAAAAGCTCAGAGCGGTGCACCCCTTGATATTTAATGTTGTTTCACATCCAATCATATCATAACTCCCGCATTATTTTCTTCAAAGTCAAGTTAGAATTTAGTGGTAGACGGTTGACCCACCACAGAAATCCAGAGAGCCCTAGCCACCTAGCCATTATATACTTATAATTGACTATTTATATATATATATATATATATATATGTATATAGATTATAGAGAGCAAGAAAAAGATAGTTCCCTTTGAGTTTCAGTTGAAAACATCAAATCAAAACCTGGATGTTATAGAAAGCAAAAAAAGAAGTCTCCGTTCTCTTTTCTGTTTTTCCATTTAGCTTTTACACCGTAACTTTACCAGCACTCGCACATGCATGCTAACCAAAGTGGAATCCCATTCCCATACCACTTTGATGCCTTTCGGTCCACCACTTGGCTATGTGATAACCCTCACATATTTCTGTGAATTAGAGTCGGCAGTTTTAGGTCCATATTTTCCTCTTTCGCTCTTGGTAGAGCGGTAGGCTGATAAGTAACTCCTGATCATTTCAGAAAAGTTATCTGCATTTTTTATTTAAAGAACCAGTGATAATTTCCTTAGGGATTTTTATTTCTCGTACTTCTATTTCCATATAATTTGGATGGTAAGCAGTGCAACATAGGTTGCTTCTGCCTTTGGTTTAACTTTAAGGCCAAGACAGTGACATGCAGTGTCATTTGGCCATAACTTGAGGATGGCATTGAAATCGTTTCCTATCTTTGAGCGCACTGTCTTTCGATTTAAGGCACATCTCCCATTACTTGGTTATGAATATTTAGACGAGATGATTGATATTTTATGGACGTTGAATATTGTGTTCAATAAGTAGTTATACTTGTTAGAACATAAATAGATTTATAGTACCATTTTGTAATGTGAGAGTGATACGACAACACTATAAAGTACATAACAATAGCAATTATAGTTAAAATGGAAGAGTTGAGATACTCACTGGATCTTTGTGTCCGAAGTCAACAAACTCAAAAATCTGAACAGTTCAAGAGAGAGATCTGGGCTGTTCAAGGGCTTTGTTTTGTGTGAAATTGTCAAATAAGGATAATATGATTTAAATTAAGTGGTCTGAATTTCAAATGCATCGACTCCGAACATAGACATCAAGATCTCAATTCAAAATGGAAAAGAACGTGGAATGAGGACTAGTTTGATGCATCGGATGATTGGTGGTGACCTTCTGAGCTCATTAAGTGAATGTGGCAGATTATATTCATGAATGCACATAATTATATACACCTTTTAAGGTTGATCTCTAACTCTATATTTTATGTGACAAAGATCACCTAGGTAAATGCATGCATATCACAACTAGCACTTCATATCCTCTTCTTTGTGGTATAAGAGTATTGTAACGGGTCATCTTCTTCGTGACAAATTTTAATCTCTTGCCTAACATATGAAAAATATTAATTGGCTAATGTGTTAGAATGTAGGAATGTTAAGCTTTGCACATAGATAATTTGTTCCGATAACATGTTAGAATGTAAACATTTGAACACTAAAATTAACTAATAATAATATAAAACTCTAAATATTGGTAAGCCTCTAATCTCTAATGCAAAATTCATATTCTCCCATTTGGATCCAAAAATGATGGTAATGTTGAGCATACACATTAGATATGTTTTGAAAAATTGAGAATGTGCATTGGAGATGGTTGGATATAAAACGCAAATGTAAATTTTTATTGGTGTGAGCTCCACCTTAGATTGAAATTATGTTTTAGCTTTTTTTAATGTAATCACGTTATACTTACTTCAATCTAACATTTAGATGTAGGATAAGATAGGGCTCAATTCGACGAAGAAAGATAAAGAAAATAAATTGTTTGAAATTCTGAAGAAGAAGAAGAAGAAGAAATAAAGTTTGCAGATACTGGATTCAATTGATATGGCATAGAAACGGCAACAAAAAATATTCTAGTGTCAGAATTGGACGTCTAATATGTCTTTTGTTGAAGATGGTCGCGAGCAGAACAACGTTCATGGTTATACCATGAGCTTGTTGCGTTCAAAGTCATCCCAGGTTGTTTAGACTCCCAAAAGAGCATTTTAAAGTTTGTAGTAAATTTCAAGCTTTTTAATTTCTGTTCGATATGTCGTTTATATTTCCAAAGATCCTTGAGCCTTTTCAAGGCAGTGTTTAATTTGATTTAAGCCATTTGGCTCCCAATGTAATCATCAATTGAAATAATCAAACAACCTTTCGGTTTTATCCCAATCTCCAGTGGATTTCAGAAACCTTTGTTCTTCAGAATTTACGTTTGTAATCATTGTTAACTTCTTACTACGTACTCTGTCACATTTAAATCCAAACATTCCGATAAATTAAGACAACCTAATGCAAAACTTCAATCTCCCACCTGTGATACTTTGTAGGGAAATGCTAATGAGATTTTCTTAAAGTGAGATTTTCTATGAACTCTTTGACATCTCATAGTTTAACGTTAATTTATATGTCATTATTCTAAAATATTGTGTCAAAATTATGAATTGACAGATAATTCACAAAAGAGTCTCCTTTTTAAGCTCTTAGCATTTCTCTATTTTTTTTTTTTAACATTACCAATTTACCATCCTCCTCAACAATTATATTCTATGCCTTGCTCACACGCACTCCTCTTCCGAAAAAGACTTTAAAAGGCTCTTAAACCCCACAACCCAGTCCTGAGTCCTCTTCCAAGCCCACTCTCTCTATCTATCTCTCTTCCTTCTGCATTTTCTCTCTTCTCCCACCTCCAATGGGATTTCGTTTTGATTTCTATTGATAAAGAAAGATTGCATTTTCATGGAAGAAAATGCGAGTCTCATCATCTGGGAATTCAAGATCTTAACTTCCATTCCAAACTTGCAAATTTCTGAAACCATGAAGAACTTTTGCTCTTCGATCTCCTCAAGTCCTCTGTTTTCCAGCATTGTTGCTCTCTATGCTCTGATCCTCCTCTACCTCCCGAACCATTTCCTCCGAATCGTTTTCTCGCCGGTCCTGATCATCACCGGAATTCTCCTACTCACGATTCTCCGTATGGGCGCGATTCAGAGGATTGAAACGGAAGACGATGAACGCGAACAAATGGAAACCAATCGCTCTCTGCTCGAAAGCGAAGAAAACAGGGGAAGCAGCAATGGACTCCAAGAACAAATCCCAAGTTTGCAAGACGACCAAGAACACAGATTTTTCGACAACCAATCCGAAACGGACTCCGAAAGCGAAGCGGGTTTCGACCCGAACCCGTGTTTCGAAGACTTGTTCGTTGAGTGGAACCTGAAGGCGCCATTGGAGGTCATTTATGAAGAGTATGAAGGTGAAGAAGATGAGGTGGATCCGGATGAAAACGACCCGGCTTCGAATCGAAAGGAAGGAGACCAAGTTCTAAGTCTTGATAAGCACCCTTCGTTGTCGCTGTATTACCCGGAGTCGGACTCGGATAGCTCTTCGGACGGCCGGTTTTCGGTGGATGGAGTGTGGGACTCACCGGAGGCGATATGTTTCCGGTGGGAGAGGATAGAGAAGGGCTGATAGAGATTGCTCTGGACGGCAATTCAAAGAGAGGCAGCTTGGATTTTCGGGTTGATCACGATCACGAGGAAGAAAATTTGATAGAGATTGATATATCTCCGACGAGAAGCAATGAATTTTGCGCCGAGAAATGGCAGTTCTCCGGCGATTTTAGGTTCAGCTAATGTTGGATTGGTAATGAGAATAATATCGATGCAAGATGGATTATGTTCTCTTTATTCGAGTGATAATCAACACTAAATTAATTTAAATTAACAGAATAATAATCCAAACCTAAATGTTAAATGGAGATTGTGAAAATTGGAGTGTTGAGAAATGCTTAACGGCAACTTTGTATGAATTTTATGTTATTTTATAGTCTAACTTTAATTTTTGTACTAACATCATAAATTATGGTGCTAAAAATAAAATGACAAAGAATGTACAGGAAATTTTACTTTTGAGAGAGTATCCAAAACATTTTTCGTGGAATGTTTTGGGATGATGGGATTTTGGGGTGCTGAAATGTTTGTGTAATGGTTTACCGTTGTATATTACCAAGGTTAAAATGTTTAGTTGGAGTGTCTAATATGCCCTTAGCCCAATATCTTTTTTTTTTAGAAAAACTAATGAAAATAATTTGAAAACTTTGAGTTTTAATAATAAGAATAAGATAAAAGATAAAATGAATAGTATTACAATTGATTTTCTAATGTAAAAATATAATTTTTCGTTAAAATAAATAATATCAAAAAATTTTGTTAAAATTCTATTTTTTCTTTCGATATGATGAATAACATTGATTGAAGAGGTTTGAGGGACACGTGGAGGCTAGTGTGGTGTGGTGGGATTTGAACTTGTGGTCCATACTGCACAGTGCACTTGAAGAGGAGGGAGGGGCATGGTCCATGGTGCATGTACACAAGCATTGGAATGGAATTGATAAGAGATAATTTTGATGTATAAAAGAAGGGGACAATCTCACATTAAGAGTGATTAATTTAGATGTTTCTGGCCTTATGCTTAATGACAAGAAAATTATTATTCGATACTGAAACACTTTTATTTATAACATAATTAATTTGTTCGTATTATAAGACAGAAACACAAGGTAAAAGGAGTAGAGAAAAATTTGTGAAGATTCAGTGCAAAACCGAACACAGGGACATTCTATGATTTATACAGCCAATCCCACTTAATAAGGTAAAAATTTGTTGTTACTATTGTTGTTGTTGTATAACATGTAAATGGGTTATGAACATTGTGCCATGATCCTCATCATTCATTTATAGTGTAACTTGTGTTAGTTCTGTTACGACATATGTTCCTAACATTAGGATTTCGAATTTTTGAGATTTACTATGAAAAATGTGGGGACAATCTCACATTTATATAATTTTCAATTTAGATTTTAACGGTCAATTATTATGTAGTACTAAAACACTGCAATACATACTATGTTTATTAATACCATATAAAAAGAGCATGAGTTCACATTAGAATTGTAGCTAGTATTCTTGAACCCTAGCTAGCAGTGCATGCTATTGAAGAAGGAAGAGGATCCTTTCCAGATCCACTTTGTGAAGATCTTAGGGATCCTCACATCCTAGCCGTTTATAGAAAATCATGCAGTTAGTTTTTGTCAGATACTATTTGTATTTAATTTTAAATACAAAAATTAAATGATTTAAGACCGTATGATATACAATAAATAATTAAGATGTGAGAATCTTTAGAATTTCTATAAACTGGATCTGTATGGAATCCAATTCCATTGAAGAACATCGAGACAGATCGTGTGCAATGTGCCCCATATGATTTGCACTGTTTATAATAAGGTCGACAGCTGTTGAGCTCAAATGTCAGCTCATGGCATTGTCTGCATGCTAACTTGTCAAACTGCATGACTTGTAATTGTTGTATTAGTCGTCTTTAAATCTATGGCCCTAGCTAGCTCTGTAGGTTATATAATGCATGAGTTCCTCAGTATAAATTTTCGTGCAAAATATGTGATGAGTGTTATACTTTCGTATATATTTTTGATGTCACTTGAGTCTTTCTTCTTATGTGATGTCAAATAGGATGATGGGTTTAACTATGGATTCGGATCCTCTTCAGATTGGTTTCCTTTATTTTCTTGATATTTGGATAGAAGAGGACAAAATACTCTTGAGGCATACTGGGATTTCTACGCGCGAGTAGCGGGTAATCATCCCTCAACCAAGTCAAAAGTGCCCAAAGAAGGTAACAAATTCGAAATTATTTCATCCTTCCTCATTCCATATTCTCTACAAAGCAATCATTCCATAACCTTCAAAACATTCCATAAAAATTAGGTTAATTGATTAATTAATGGATTTATTTCCTAATTAATCCATTAATCACCAATTAAATCACCTATTATACCAATTAATCACCCATTACACACCAAAAATACCCCAAAGGGCCGGCCACCTTTTCTCCAAAGGGGACCGGCCATGCTCTATATATTGAACCCCATTTTTCTCTAAAAAGCTAGGTTCATACTCTTGCTAAAATTCTCCAAAACTCTCAAACACTTTTCTCTCTAAATTCTAACTTTGGCATCGGAGGTTCTTCAGCCAAAGCCCCCCCACCCCAAATTCATCGTGGGCGCGTGAGGCTCTTGGCCTTGACCTAAGGTGTTATTTGTTTTGTAAGTGCAATTTTGTCCAATATCAAGGAGGAAGAAATTTGCATCCACAAAGAGTATTATAATGGGTCATCTTCTTCGTGACATATTATAATCTCTTGCCTAACATATGAAAAATATTAATTGGTTAATGTGTTAGAATGTAGGACTTTTAAGCTTTGCACATAGATAATTTGTTCCGATAACATGTTAAAATGTAAACATTTGAACACTAAAATTAACTAATAATAACATAAAAATCTAAATATTTGTAAGCCTCTAATCTCTAATGCAAAATTCATATTCTTCCATTTGGATTCAAAAATGATGGTAATGTTGAGCATACACATTAGATATGTTTTGAAATTTTGAGAATGTGCATTGAAGATGGATGGATATAACCTTAGATCGACATTATGTTTCAGCGTTTTTTTTTTTTAAAATGTAATTGTGGATGCAAATTTCCGCCTTTTTCTTCTTGGACAAAATTGCACGTGCAAAACAATTTACACCTTACGTCAAGGCCAAGAGCTTCACGAGCCCACGATGATTTTTTTGGGGGGGGGGGGGGTGGGCTTTGGCCGAAGAACCTCCGATGCCAAAGTTAGAATTTGAGGGGAAAATGTTTGGAGAAATTTGGAGAATTTAGTAAGAGAGTTGGAATTAGGTTTTTGGGAGAAATGTGAGCTATTTATAGGGGTGTGGCCGGCCCCTATTTGGAGAAAAGGGGTCCGACCACTTATGGTGCTTTTTGAATGTAATTACAAGATATTATGTCAAAATAATATCTTGCAATCAATTAGGAGATTAATTAATTAATTAATTAGGAAATTAATCAATTAATTTAGGTAATTAATCCTATTTTGAATGAATAATTGAAGGTTACATTGTGGGGAGGATTTGATGAGGATGGATGAAATAGGTTTTGAATAGATACTATTTTTGTCACATCCCAGCCTGGGGCGGATCATTTCTTGGGCCATCTCCACCACCGTAGCACGATATTGTCCGCTTTGGGCTTACCATTCCCTCACGGTTTTGTTTTTGGTAACTCACGAGCAACTTCCCAGTGGATCACCCATCCTGGGATTGCTCTATCCCCCTTCTCGCTTAACTTCGGAGTTCCCATGGAACCCAAAACCAGTGAGCTCCCAAAAGGCCTTGTGCTAAGTAGGGATAGGAATATACATATAAGGATCATTTCCCTGGGCGATGTGGAATCTTACAATCCACCCTCCTTAGGGGCCCGACATCCTCGTCGGCACACACGCAGCCAGGGTTAGGCTCTGATACCAATTGTCACATCCCGGCCCGGGACGGATCACTTCCCAGGCCCGCTCCACCACCGTAGCACGATATTGTCCGCTTTGGGTTTACCATTCCCTCACGGTTTTGTTTTTGGGAACTTATGAGCAACTTCCCAGTGGGTCACCCATCCTGGGATTGCTCTAGCCCCCTTCTCGCTTAATTTCGGAGTTCCCATGGAATCCGAAGCCAGTGAGCTCCCAAAAGGCCTCGTGCTAGGTAGGGATGAGAATATACATATAAAGAACACTCCCCTGGCCAATGTGGGATCTTACAATTTTGATTACTTTTGACCTTGATTGTGGCGTTATTGTCCGCTACTTGCGTGTGGGAATCCGGTGTGCCTCGAGGGTAATTTTGTCTTTTCACCCAAGAATCCACATGTCGTCTCCATATTTTTCTTAATTATTTTTGGCTCCACAATGCCCCCACACCTGTTGGGTTGCTTGCAGGAAAGGGCAGCAGGTGTAGAGATCTTCTTGCTTTAGGAAACATAAGATTGTTTATTATTTTGATGTAGATTCCCTCTTTAATTGGAAATTAGATCCTTCTAGGAAAGGGAAATAAATTACTTCTAAAGTCTATTTAAGTCTACCTTAAGTAGATTATTAAATCAACTTTAAAGAGCAATTTATTCTACCCTACAAGAGAGAGTGAGCTAGAGGATATTTGTTCTCCCTCCCCTAGCAATCTTTTACACTTGCTCGTGCAAATGACTGTCTTTCGTTGCTTTCTTCGTCTTCACGCTGCTCCAAGGTAAGAAAAAATTAATTTTTCCTTGTCTTCATAATTTTTGGGAACCTCGGGGCTTGAAATTTGGTTCAACACGTGTGATGGTTGGAGAAGGCCATGACCTGGCTGGCGTGGGTGACAAGGTGCGGTGAAGGCTCAGCTTGGGTCGAGGGCTGGCGACACGGGCCTTGGGCTTCGGGGCGTGGCTGGCTTGGGCCAGGGTGATGGGCGTTGGGATGCTGGGGTTGGCGCGGGCCAAGCTGAAGAGATATACTTGGGCTTCGGCCCATGCCAGAAGGAGAGAAAGAATGTGGGGCGCTAACCCCTATTCTTTCCATTGGGGCCGGGGGTTATAATTTTTTATTTTTATTTTTTGTGGCTGGGCTCAGGCCCCGGCCTGAGGGAAAAGAGAGAGGTCGAGTGCCTTGTTGGGCTGTAAAGCTTGGTGTGCCGTGGTTTCCTTTTTTTTTTTTTTTTTTGTGCAGCCGCCTAATGAATTTTCCTAGCGTCTTTGTAGTATTTCTTCAAGCATGTCTTCCTCAAGCC